GGTCGAACGTGGACGTAATCTGCAGCGGGGGCCAGCGCTGCGCCCACTTCGGCAACGTGGTGCCCGTTGACTTGGCTGGAGTGGTCCTCGCGCACTTCTTCGTGGGGCAGTGGGCCATGTTCGAGCACATCGGGCTCTCCACGGGGCTCAAGCGCCCCGTCGGCCACGCGGAGAAGTCCGAGCTCGAGAAGCGGCTGTCCAAGAAGTGGAGGAAGGGGGTTCTGAACGCCCGCCTGCCCAACGGCGAGCAGTAAGTGGAGGTGTCGCCCAGCGCTTCCAGCGAACGCGGCAGGAACGCAACTTCTCTGTGCGACTGTGCGCGCAATCCACGTGCAATACAGTGCGCTTTGCAGCTCGTCATCCCAGCAGGGGCCACGGCAAAAAAGTTATTCCTCCTCCTCCCCTCCTCTTCCAATTTTTCTTCCCCAGGCCCGAGCCTCTGCCCCCTTGCACGCCTTCGCCCCGTGGGGGGGGAGGTGGTCGACGTGGATGGGCCCTGAGAGATCTGAAGGTTCCGAGAGAACTTCAGGAGGGCTCCTTGGGGGCCCCGCGAAAGTTTAAGGAAGGCCCCGCAAACCTTTGTTCCCTACTTAGGCTCTGCCTAGAAGGGTTCTTACTCTTTTAGCCTAAAGGGGTGGGCAGTGGAAATCGCCCCAGGCGGTTCCCCCAGTCCCCGCCCTGCTTTTCCCCCAGTCCCCTGGGAGCTGTAGCTTTAGCTTTAGCTTTATCTTTAGCTTTAGCTTCAGCTTAGCTCTAGCTTAGCTTTAGCTTAGCTTTAGCTTAGCTTTAGCTTAGCTTTAGCTTTAACGTTAGCTTAGCGTTACCTTAGCCTTAGCTTAGCTTTAACTTAGATTTAGCTTAGCTTCAACTCAGCTTCAGCTTATCTTTAACTTAACTTTAACTTAGCTTTGACTTAGCTTTAGCTTAGCTTCAGCTCAGCTTCAGCTTATCTTTTGCTTAACTTTAGCTTTAGCTTAGCTTTAGCTTTAGCTTTAGAGCTCAGCTTTAGCTCAGCTTTAGCTTAACTTTAGCTGTAACTTTAGCTCAGCTTTAGCTTAGCTTCAGCTTGGCTTTAGCTGAGGTCTAGCTTAGCTTTAGCTTAGCTTTAGCTTAGCTTGAGCTTAGCGTTAGCTTTAGCTTTAGCTTAGCTTCGGCTTAGCTTCAGCTTAGCTTTAGCTTTAGCTCAGGTTTACTGTTGCTACTAATGCTGCTTTCCTAGGGGCTCCAACTTCTAGGTAGGGTCGCACTGGGATAATGTTGACGTTGTGTAATTCGGTGTTGCCTTTGCATTGCATTGTCGTTGTCCCTTGTTGTGTGGAAGCACTTCAGGGAGGAACTCATGCATTGCATTGCCGCTTGTATTGGTTTTGCCGCGTGGGGCAGCGCGGCAGTGGCCCGCTCGGGGCCCTCGTGGTCACCTCTCGGGGGTGTTTGGGGTCTTCATAAAAATTATCCCAGTGCGACCCTACCTAGGAGTTGGAGCCCCTAGGAAAGCAGCATTCGTAGTAACAGTAAAGCTAAACTAGCTAAGCTAAAGCTAAGCTAAAGCTAAGCTAAAGCTAAGCTAAAGCTAAGCGAAAGCTAAGCGAAAGCTAAGCTAAGGCTAAGCTAACACTAAGCTGAAGCTAAGCTAAAGCTAAGCTGAAGCTAAGCTGAAGCTAAGCTAAAGCTAAGCTAAGCTGAAGCTAAGCTAAAGCTAAGCTAAAGCTAAAGCTAACGCTAAGCTAAAGCTTAGCTAAAGTTAAACTAACACTAAGCTAAAGCTAAGCTAAAGCTAGGCTAAAGCTAAAGCTAAAGCTAAAGCTAAAGCTAAGCTAAAGCTAAAGCTAAGGCTAAAGCTCCCAGGGGACTGGGGGAACCGCGGGGCGGGGACTGGGGGAACCGCCCGGGGCGGTTTCCATTGCCCGGCCCCTTTAGCTAACAGAGTAAGAACCCTTCTAGGCAGAGCCTAGGTCGGGAAAAATGTTTTTTTGGCTCGAGTTTCGAGGGTTAGTAAAGTGGTCGGGATATGCACCCGTGTTATGACGTTGCGGTGCCCCGCGCAAGAACGTAAACGCGAGAGGCGCGCTCGGTGTCTCAGGGAATCGACAAACAACTACAGTACAATGGTAGGACGTTTCGGACGGACTTGCCAAAGGAACGACAGGAGTACGAGAAGGAGGAATGATGTGGGGAGAGCATAGGTGTTTTGGTTCAGAGGCCTCACCCAACACCTGTTTCAATTTCTCCATTTCCGCATGCCATCGCACCAGGCTGTGCGAGAGGAGGCGAAAGCATAATACAACGACATCGGGGAAATGAGGGTGTGGGGAATACTTCTCGGACTAGAACCTAGGTGCGCGTGCGCGGCTCGCGTTTTTTTAGTGTGCCCGTGTCTCTTCATGCGTCCGCGGTCGTGTGCCAGTGTTCGTTCGCTTTCCTCCTGCCGTCGTGCGGGCAGCCCCGCGCTTGTGCTCTCCATGCCCGGGCGGTTTATTGCGTTTTCTTCTCATGCAGCTTTGGTGAGCGTGTCCCACTAATTTTGATGAGGGCTTAGCCGTCGCGCGCACTGTTCTGACTTTTGCACTTTTTCTTTGTCCGCCTCGTCGCTGCGCTCGAGGCCGCTATCGCAAAGAGTGTATATATGTATGCATGCATGCACGCATGTATGTATGTATGTATGTATGCATGCATTTGTGTATGTATGAGTGCATGTGTATATGCATGTATGTATATATGCATGAAATCATGTATGTATGTACTTGTGTATGTATACTTATATAGATATAGGCATGCATGTATCTATGTAGGCATGTATTATTGTCTGTATACATGCATTTATAATAGCATACATGTATATATATATATGTGTATACATATATTCATACACAGCACATGAATATATTTATATAAACATGTACACGTATATATGTACGTATGCATGTATGTATTTATGTATGTATATACGTACGTATGTATGTATGTATGTATGTGTGTCTGTCTGTCTGTCTGTCTGTCTGTCTGCCTGCCTGCCTGTATGTATGTATGTATGTATGTATGTATGTATGTATGTATGTAATGAATGTATGTATGCATGTATGTATGCATGCATGCATGTATGTATGCATACATGTATGTGCATACGTACGTATGTATGTATGTATGAATGTATGTGTGTATGTGTGTATATGTATGTATGTATGCATGCATGCATGCATGCATGTATGTATGTATGTCTATTCAACTATGTTTATATTTCTATCCATGTTTATATGTATACATGTATGTGGTTGTGCACATACTATATGTATGTATGTATGTATGTATGTATGTATGTATGTATGTATGTATGTATGTATGTATGTATGTATGTGTATGTATATATATATATACACATGGTCGTACGCACCTCGCCTATCAGGGGGAACGATATGGGGGATGGGCATAGGGGGGGATGCATCGACGCCCAATCGTCCATTCATCGCCGATTGGGGGCCGATAGCCCCACCCCGCCCAGGAAGGTGCGGATTCGTCATCGGGGGCCCATCGCTGATCAATCGGCGATCTGTCGCCCGATTGTCCCTCATCCGAGGGAGGATAGGTCAGACGCGATCAGTTGCAGCCGCTTTTGGGCCGTTTCGCTCGGGACACTTGCACAATTTTGAGAACTGGGCGCGCCCCTCGCGCAGATCGCGCTGTCACGGTCACGACACGTCGTTTTCCCAGACAATTTTACCACAACGCATTTCACACACACGCGTCGGAACTCGATTGTTTTGCTCCCGGCTTTCCGAACAATGAAGTTTTGCCTGAGGCATCATGGCGCAATTCGAGCTATTAGGAACAAAGAGTTCCGCCTGAGACATCCTCCCCAAATCGAGCCCCGACGTACAACACGCACACACGTAATTCACACATAACGCACACATGGACACAACACAGAAGACACATGCACAAACACACGCGACACACAAGACACACAGAACACCTGCACCACACATGACACACACACACACCAAGACACACATATACACGCATTCTTTGGCGGTCGCAGCCTCGCGCGCAGCGACGACGTGGAGCAAATCAAGTGCACATGCGCACTTTCTGGCGGTAGCGGCCTTGCGTGCAGCGATGAGGCGGAGTCAGTAGAAGTGCTAATCGCGTTGACGTGGCCAGGCCCTGAAGAATCGCTGCGATTCTTTGGGGGCGGGTCAATTACACACATCTTGCACATGTTTTTGTATGGGCCTCAGTACGCACGTGCCACTTGTACCTATTTGCGCGTGCTCAGAATTAGTAGGGTGATTGGAGTTCGTACGTGCTCTGATCATTTGTTTGCACTGGTCGGCTACTCGTTTCAATTCTCACGGGTTGGCATGGCCTGGGTGTCGGACGTGTTTGTGTGTGTGTGTGTGGGTGTGCCTGTGTGTGTGTGTGTGTGTGTGTGTGGAAATGGGACTCCTAATTTGCCGGTGTTGCGCCTTCTCTTGGCGAACCTATAGCACGCGTGGTTGCATTTTCCAAACGCTGTCCATGCTCGAAGTTGCAACGCTGCTGCGGGTTGCTTTAGCTGTCGGTGGGGTGTATCCGTGGCGGTGGTGGCTATGGGCGTCTTTCTCGGAAAGAGTCCCCGTGTTTCTTTCGCGGACACTTTTTGGCTCCTCGTGGGGGACATCCTGGAAGCTTCTCCGTACTCCACTGTGGAGCTTCGGGGGCCTTGGGCCTGTCGTGTGGTTCTTGTGGCCTCTTCGTGGCTCTTATAGGACTGTTGGCCGCTTGCGCCGTTTTCGGAATATATTAGCGGCATTCTCTGTGGTTTTGGAACCCCCAAGCCGCTTTATCACCCCCTTCTCCAAATCGTCAAGAGCGAACCCCAGGGATGAGTGTGGGGACGCGCAAGCAGGAGGGTTGCACGCCCGTCACCCCGAGGGGGTGGGTAAAGTGGCATGTTGCATAGCATCCCGGCATCCCAGCAGCAATGAGCGCACGATTTGGCCGTCAACAAAGATTTCGTGCACGGGATGGCTGGAAATGGGGGCAAGTGGTGTGCCTGCCGGGGAAAGCTGGCATCTCCAGCATGGCCTTGGGTTATCCGTCGGCAGCACGCTGCGAACAGCGCAATTTTGTTGCTATCAGAAGCCGGGCGAAGGCTGGCAGTCTCGTGGCGACTAAAGCGGAGCTCCAGGAAATAGTTCGTTTTCTTCCGGGAAGCAGCCCACTTACCATTTAGTGCGCTGAGCTTGCTTCCGGGAATCTGCTTTTTTTTCTTCCGGGAATGCCGTTGTAGCAGCCACGGAGTTGTCAGCCCTCGCCCAGCTCCCAATTCTGCCAGCCGGCGACGGTCTCGAGACGACGAGCCCCCGCGGCAGTGCAGCAGGAGTGCCCGACCGAGTGGCTCGACCGAGCGCGCCCCTCCGTGTGCGAGCGGCAGCCAACGAAAACACGGTGCGCTGCAGGAAAGCCTCGGCGGCAGCGCGCTGCGAACCGCGCAGTGTTGTTTCTGCCAGCTGGCGACGGTTTCGAGACGACGAGTGCCCGACCGAGTGGCTCGACCGAGCACGCCCCGCCGTGTGCGAACGGCAGTCAACGAAAACACACGGTGCGCTGCAGGAGAGCCTCGGGCGTCCGCGCTCCGGCGGAAAGGAGGGATGGGGAGGGAGGAAAGGGATGGCAGGGGGAGGTGAGGGACCAAGAGAAGGGGACGGGGAAAAAGGAGGGGAGGGAAAGGGGAGGGGGAGGGGGAGGGAGGGAGGGGGAGGGAGATGGGGGAGGGAATGGGGGAGGGGGAGGGGGAGGGGGAGGGAGGGGAGGGGGAGGGGAGGGGAAAGAAGGGGAAGGGGAAGAATGATGGGAGGGAAGGGGGGAGGGGGAGGGGGAGAGAGAGTGGGGAGGCCACGGGCGGGGCGGAGGAGGGCAGGCGCAGGCAACGGAAGGGGGAGGCAACGGGGGAGGCAGCGGACCGGGGAGGGACTTTTGGAGGAGGAGGAGGAGGAGGAGGAGGAGGAGGGGGAGGCACTGGCAGGGTACGGGAGTAGGGGAGGGTAAGGGTAAGGGGAGGCGTCTGCGGCCAGTCTGAGACGTACAGAAGCCGGGCGAAGGTTGGCAAACCCGTGGCTGCTAAAACGGAGCTCCTGGATTTTTTTGTTTCTTTCGGGAAGCAATCGGTTTACTATTTAGTGCGCTGAGCTCTATTCCGGGAAATTGTTTTTTCTTTTGGGAAGACCGTTTTGGCAGCCACATCTTTGCCAGCCCTCGCTCAGCTTCCGGCCCATGAGACTTTTCCTTCTGCTTCCCTCTTCTTGACGAGCCAGGGGGCACCGATGCAGCAATTGCGTCCTCTCAAGGAGTGCCGATGCGCGAATTGTTTTTTCCTTGATGCATATGTCTTCCCGCACGCGCACGTTCCAAGCTGCTCGGAAACGAAATGAAACGGGGGGATGGGAGGGAAGGGTCAAGGGAGGAAAAACCACCCGGACCGGACCATTGGCGTTTACTAAACGGCCTTGGGCGTTTCATGAACAGCCCTGTCCTGTTCGATTCCTTCAGTGGGGCGTTTGGTAAACGGCGTCGCTTGTCGGGGTGGTTATTATGGGTGTGTTTTTTTTGCCCTCTAAACGGGGGCCCGTCAAGACGGGGCTGAACTGCTGCCCCCCCTCCCCCCCAGTGCACCGTGCGGGTCAGGGATGCATCCCGGGGGCCCAACGGCGCGGCGGTCGCCAGACCAGACGCTGCCGCGAGCGGTACGAAATCACAGCGGGCTTAAGGGGCTGGCGCGATGTGCAGGGGCACATTTCTTTGTGTGGGACTGTGTGCAGTTTTTTTAGAGGATCCGTATTCTGTATGTATGTATGTATGTATGGATGGATGTCTGTCTGGCTGTCTGTGTCTGTCTGTCTGTCTGTCTGTGTGTGTATGTATGTATGTATGTATGTATGTTTGTCTGTGTATGTATATATGTATGCTTGTATGTCTGTATGTATGTACGTATGTATGTATGCATGCATGCATGCATGCATGTGTGTACGTATGTATGTACGCGTATCCGCATTTGTGTGTATGTATGTACGCATGTATGCATGCATGCACGTATAGATGCATGCATGCATGTATGTATGCATGCATATATGTGTGTATGTGTAGATATGCATGTTTTCAATGTAATGTAATGTTATGTATGTATGAATGTATGTATGCATGTAGGTCGGTAGGTAGGTAGGTAGGTAGATAGGTAGGTAGGTTGGTAGGTAGGTTGGTAGGTAGGTTGGTATGTATGTATGTATGTATGTATGTATGTTTGTATGTATGTATGTCTGCGTGTATGTATGCATGTATGTATGTATGTAATGTAATGTAATGTAGTGTAATGTAATGTAGTGTAATGTAATGTAATGTAATGTAATGTAATGTAATGTAAAGTAATGTAATGTATTTTATTGTAATGTAATGTAAGGTAGTGTAATGTATTGTTATGTTATGCATTGTTATGTTATGTTATGTTACGTTATGTTATTTACTGTAATGTATTGTATTGTAATGCAATGTAATGTAATGTATCGTAATGTAAGGTATTGCATTGTAATTCAATGTATGTATGTAAGTATGTATGTACGTATGTCTGTCTGTGTGTCTGTCTGTGTGTCTGTCTGTCTGTCTGTCTGTATGTATGTATGTATGTGCATATGTATATAGAGATAAATCGTGCGGGAGCCTTGCGCCGGCGTCTCGGCACGAGCGGCGGACTGCGCCCTTGCGTTTCCATGACCCGGACGTTTTGTTTGTTAGTTTGGTTACGTGTAGCCGTGTTTGGTGTTTGTTTCTTCTTTACCTCTCTCTCTCTCTCTCTCTTTCTTTCTCTCTTTCTTTCTTTGCAGATGGGCACGACGGCGGCAACATGTTCCGCCGAGCTTGGGTCGGCATTGCAAGCCGATGCGCTGTCGCGTTGTCGCCTCCTCTTGCAGCGTGCGGTGGCGTAGCCCTGTCTGCGGGTCGATCGACGGTTCTGCAGCCTACTGTTGCTGCGGCGTGCAAGAGGAAGTTCGCCTCGACGTGGAGTGACAGTTCAAACCAAGTCGGTACCTCCCGCTGTGCCTAGGCGTATCGGTAGGCCTCGTGTGCTCCAGTCTGCGGAGGCCCAACGCCAAGACCGTGACCCCGCCCATGCCTGGTGCTGTCCTGAGGTAAGCGTCAGGGAGATGCTGGACCATGCTGCGGGCAGCCAGTGCCGGAGTCGGCGTCGACGAGGTATTCAGACCTCCGGATTTCGACGATCGGGAGCGTTGGGAGCAGTGCGTGGGCTGGAGAGGAGCGTACAGGAGGGGTTGGCGTCTTTTGGCTTGTTTTGATTTTTGCCTTTTTTCTTCTCTTCTCTTGTCTTGTCTCCTCTGCTATCATATTCTCTTCTCTTGATTGATATTTTCTGTCCTTCTCTTCTCTTATCTTCTTGAGTCCTCTTCTCTGCTCTTCTCTTCTCTCCCATTCTCTTCTCTCTTCTTCTCCCTTGTGCTTTCTTCTCTTCTCCTCTTCTCTTCTCTTCTTTTCTATCTCCCTCTTTTTTTTTTTTTTTTTTTTTTTTTTTTTTTTCTCTCTCTCTCTCTATTTCTTATTTTTGTTATTGTTTTTTTTGTTCTTGTTCTTGAACATTATTTCTTCTTAAGAATAATTATTGTTGGGACCCCTGGTGCACGACCCCCCCGCCGCGCCTAGGCCGCAGCCACGTTTTCATCATTTTCGTGAGGAAGCCTCAGGTAAAACGATGTGGTCCAGATCCGGTTGTTTTGTTGTCCCCCGCTTTCCCTTGCAAAAAACACTATAAAATGAGATTTCTTGTTCTAACATATCCAAACTTCAAGAATCCCTTGCAAAACATAAGGTAAAGTGGACATTCGCGCGCGCAAGACGAAATCCTTCCAAAACCTTAGTTTTCGTAACGCTTTTAACATAAAAACATCAAAAAACCAATGGTTTTTCAAAAAAAATGTCAAAATTTCATCCCGCGCGCTCTTGCGGATTCGTAGGAAACCCAACACTTTTTAAACATTTCTGTCAAACGGGCTTTTGCTAGCAACTTTTTCGAACTTCTGCAACAACGGTTGCGCACCTGCCAGGGCCATCATCCCTGTCAAATAATACCATGCGGGACACATTCGTTTTTTCTTCGCGCGCGCACGCCGTCGTCGTCGGCCGCGGGGCCCTGAATAGTAGCCACGGTCGTCCGCATGCCACGAAGTGAAGTGTCCGAACGTCATAGGGCGGGAAGCTGGGTGTGGGTGGTGGCGAAGAGTCGTTTGGAAATTTGGTAGAGCTTGAACCGGCCCCCCCACAAAGTGGGGGTATTGCCCGCCTCCTATGAAAACCCTGGCACTGGTGAGAACGGAGTGTCCCCACGTGCTAGTAATTGTTGTTGTTGTTGTTGTTGTTGTTGTTGTTGTTGTTGTTGTTGTTGTTGTTGTTGTTGTTGTTGTTGTTGTTGTTGTTTGTTTTTGTTGTTGTTGTTACTGCTGCTGTTGTTGTTGTTGTTGTTGTTGTTGTTGTTGTTGTTGTTGTGCTTGTTGTTGTTGTCGTTGTTGTTGTTCTTTCTGTTGTTGTTTCTTTTCACTTTTTAGTATTCAGTATTCTCTCACTGCTTGTAGGTGCCAGGTGCGGGCGCACCGGATGAGCTGTCGCGGCTAAGTGACTGAGAGTCGTTTTCTTCTTTGGCTGCTTCTGTGCTGGCTTCCCCGTTATCCCTGCTCGCGCTTGGTGATCGTCCCCCCGGAGTTTATCGAGGGCTAGCGCGCCAAGTATTTCAGCGTGCCGTTTTTTCCCTGTCTCTCTCTCGGACTCTACTTCATCTGTCTCCAACTCGTGTGAGAGGCCAGCCGATTCGATCCAGGAGCAGGGTGTAAGTGGCGGCTCGTGGAGAGTGTCTTGTACACCTGTCTTCTTGGCCCTTCTTGGTTGGTTGTATGATTCGCCTTTTCTCTCCCGTTATTTTTCCGCGAAGTCGTGTTAATCGTGTGTGCCTTCCTGGGGCTGGTGCCTACCGGGCGCTTGGGGTACGGCGGTGAGGTCTGTGACTTCCACCGCGACTGTCACTTTCTGTGACTTCTTTTGTTTGGTCGGTTGGTTGGTTCGTTCGTTCGTTGGTTCGTTGCTTCGTTAGTGTTCGATGGATGGATGGATGGTTGGTTGGTTGGTTGGTCGGCTGGTTGGTTGGTTGCTTGGTTGGTTGGTTGGTTTCTTGATTGGTTGGTTGGTTTGTAGGCTGGTTGTTCAGTCGGTTATTCGGTCGGTCCGTCGGTCGGTCGGTCGGTGGGTCGGTGGGTCGGTCGGTCGGACGGTCGGCCGGTCGGACGGTCAGTCGGTCGGTCGGTTGGATAGTCGGTTCGTTGGTTCGTTGGTTCGTTGGTTGGTTGGTTGGTTGGTTTGTTGGTTGGTTGGTTGGTTGGTTGGTTTGTTGCGCACTCAGGGCATCAGCGAAACCATGCTGCTGTGAGCAGGGCAGACGGGCGATCGCCCTGCTCAGCGAGCCCTCGGTGTTGACAAAGGCAGCCACGGGCCACTCGAACCCACAAGAAAGTAGAAGTCCACGTGTCATCCACTCCTGAGCTGGTCAACGCACCGCGGGCGGTGACGCCGCAGGCCGCAGGC